ATAGATTAGCGAAAATGAGCTGTTTAAGTTCATGTATTTCCCAATAGCTGTCACTTCTCAGTAGGGTGTTGATTTTTGGGTTTTAATTAATTAATCGAAATTATTAAATATATTATATATATTAAATATATATTTTTTGTATAATCACTGATTTTTGATCTATTGATCGATTAATTTAGAATGAATACTGCAGAGACAAGGATGACCCTGCCAACCCAATTTGCTCAATTCGCAATCGTCGAGATTCGAACTCCTAACATTGCTTAAGTGATTTAGTGCACATTGCACTAGATCAACTGGTTGTCGGTTATTAAATACATATTTTAAGCTCAGATCCATTAAAAATTAAGACTCAATTATTTTTAACTACTAGAACCATTAAATTATTAATACCTAATTAAATTTTAACCCAAATAAAAAAAGTACTTCTATTATATTCAATTTAATCTAATTTTAAAATTATAAAAAAAATCAGTTAATTCGATTAACCAACTAAAATAATCGAACTTTATTCGGTTTTTTTTAAAAAATCAGTTCGGTTAATTTAGTTAATAGACCTTCGCTTTAGTCGGTGACCGAATTAACCGTTTGAACACCTCTATACAGGTTTCTTAAAATACTAGGACTAAATTCTCATAAAATAAAGTTGATGGACTGATTTCTCAATTTTAATTTTGTAGAGGGATGAGTCCATAATTAGAGCTAGAAGAAATTACCTGAGGAGTTCGACCGTTTCGATTATCGTTCAACACCAGATTTTCGCCGTTAACAATGTGTTCTCTCTCTTGCGTTTCCCTCATTGGCAAAGAAGTGAATAGAGCCGGCGTTGGCGTTTGCGCTTGCGTTTTCTGCGGTGGCAACGGTTGTATAACCACTTGTTCAGTCAAAAAGCCGACGTTCGGTTCGACGCTAAATTCTCTTCACCTCCACCGTCGGCGACAACGCATCCCCCGGCGCCGTCCATTAAACTTCTTTTCATCAGCTCCACAAGCTGTTTATAAATAACCTGTTTGCTCTTCCCGCTCCCGCGACTCTCCTTCAATGTCTCCTCTTAGCAGCCAAACCTCTCGTACGGCACCACCATTTCCTGCAACCCAGTCTCGTAAAACCACGATTCCACGGCCGGCATAATCAAATATTGGTTTCACACGTTCCACTCCCGGTCCAACGCCTTCTTCTCTTCCAGATCCAATCCCCACGCTGAAGCCAGCTTCAGAGCCGACGGACAACCAGAGAACCCTTCCACGAGGGTGCGATCGTGTGCTGCCGACACAAAGCAACTACCGTGCGCGTCCCAATCACACCCTTGACAGAGCACCAGATTATCTGTCTTGCATCGAAAGGAAACCGGTTCGTTCCCGCAATTATCGCAGATCCGAGTGAACATGCTGGTCGCAAAATAAACAGAGATTGGCCGAGTCAGCTCGGCAGCAGAGAACCGCCGTTTGCTCATTGCAGAAATCACACGACGCTGCTCCCTTACCTTCTGGAATAACCATAGTTTTATCATGTAACAATTCTTGGAAATGAATACCGCAAAATAAAAACGTTAGCACAAGACATCAAAAGAAATTTATAGAATAAATAAATAGTAAATTATGTTGTGATGAATCATTCTCTTAGAAATAAATTCATCCCGATCGCTATGATGGACGATATCCTTAAAAACAACACAGTGTTTTCAACGCTTGTATACCCAAAGCTTGGAAACGGACAAAATGATAATACTATTCTTGAAAAATATACTTTTAACAGAATAGTGAAATGAGAAGAAATTATGTGCAAAGGATTTATTATACCACACTCAACAAGCAAAAGAAGGAATTTCCATATATAAACCGATAATTTTCTTCCCAATATGAGCTATATACCTTAAAGAATTTCAAGCATTACAAACAGCATTTAAACTTCCAAAAAGAACAGAAAAACTCTAGCCTCCATGCAGAAATGAAGATGAGAATTTAGGGGTGTTCAAAATCGGGTACCCGCATTTTTGGATATTCGAAGTATCTGGTATTTCGTTCTCCGGGTAGTATAATTGTCGGCATGTGACCTGACCCATTAAGTCTGGGTACCCGTAAAATCCAGATACTCGCATTTTCAAGTCACGGGTACCTGTTTCGTATACTTTTTAATTTTTTTTAAATCACATAGGAATACATAAAAATTTAAAAGTTCACAATACACCATCCACGTACAAGAGGATTTCAAATATTTTAAATTAAATAAATTTGTATTTATCATACAAAATAAGATGTATTAACATGCATAGAGAGATAAGATCATCACATTAAATTTACTGTGATTTAGAATGAATAACTTAATCTAATTTGGAATTTGGACGTTTAGAACATATTATTTAGATACTTGTTATATCTTTTTCAATATGGTGTTCTAAAATTATCAACTTTCTGTCAATCGGAAATACTAGATGGATACCTCTACTTATTAAAGTTACTAAAAGATTCCTAATTAGCCTACGGGGATAAGGACTTGATTAACCTTCGAATAGGCTACAACGCATAGATAAAACTTCTAGATAAGATCCTTAGACTCGTATGATTTACTATAACAAAATCTAATATTTGACTATCAAATCTATTTAGTTTATTGACCTATCAATAGCCATAATAGTTTTATTTGGAGTTGTTAGGTGAAGACCACTATAAATACTCCTCATGCATCCATGATTGAAGGGGTTAAAATCTTCCCAATCTCCTTCATGATCAACCCTCTCTCACAGTAATACATCGGCCAACGACAATCTTTTCTTCGGTTGCGACTCTCCACCCAAAATAGAAGAGTCAAACTAATATCGGTCGACATGACCAATTTGTTCTCATCAACAATTCAGATTGATCCTACCCAGAACTGACGAGATATATTCTCCACCATAGATATCTATCAAACCACTTTATGACGTTCTCAGGAGACAACATGTTCTATCTCCTAATATAACATTTGTAATCTACCAGCTCTCCACTAGTCGATAGTTCTTGATAAATGTTCACCGAAGTTACAAAAGAATCTCAGACCTCCCAAGGATGAGAGTACCATTAACTTTCAGATAAATTACATTATATAAATAAAATCTCTAAACGAGACTCCTAACAAACAATAAAATATAATAGATATCGTAACGAAAGTACAACAAACTATGAACACATCACAATATATATAAACTTTTTCTTACTAAACCTAAATTTTGATCTAGGTCGAAATGTTGGATCATAATCTCTAACCATACATATAAAAGTAGAAATTATTTGATGGTTCCGACTTCAATTAATAAAATTTATCCTCTCAAAGTAACTTTCAAATAACTACCTACTTAGTAACGGAACCATGTAGGTCCCGGGAAGCCATTGTTCCAAAAAAATCGCCATTAAAAAAATAAGAATAATTACCAATTTAGACCTTTAAATTTTGATTTCCCCCTTTTCTATTGTTAATTATATTTTGCCCCCGAACTAAAATCTTAGCTCCGTCTTTGTACCTACTCTTCATTTGCATGTAGGAAAGATGTGAAGATTCACCTTAAAAAAATGAGATGGTTGGATTTTATTGGTTGAGATCATGAATGATGTGTTGAGCTAGATCCATCTAATAATTTGTCGTATAAAAGATGATTAATCGGGTGGATATAAAACTGCCACGGAGAAATATTCTTGACACATCCACCTCACCTTGCCCATTATTATTTTTTATGTAAAGAACAAAACAGAACATGCAAGCCAATTATCAGCAATGTTCCATCTTTAATGAAGAAGCTTGGCACAAGGATTTTGACCTTCAGTACTTTCATGGATTAAAACTTAAATGAAAACCACTTTATGAGACCTCTCTAAATCACACCAGTCAAAGGAAATAAACACAATGTTCGAATCCAATCGCGAAATGCAAAGTGTCCCTTCCACCATGCACAGACGAAGTGTCATCGTCCAGGGTAAGGCCGAGTTGTCGACGTAGATATGGCCTAATTTGCATCATAAGTGGGGTCCGAATAAAAACCAGTCCAACTGGAGCAGAAACTGAATATTTGCTTTACAGATTGTGTTCTTCTCTGTCTCCCTCTTCTTAAAGGGTTAGGTAAAAGTCAAAACAGTATTATCCACTCGAACCGACATCGATATCGAACCTTTTTCGTGTGACATTTTTCGAAATTGATCGTAATAACATACATTACGTTCACGATCTAAACTACAGAAGTCAGAGGTGATTGCATGCAATAATACGATTACTGGTACTGAAGATGAGTGACATAGTCTGGACCGGATATATTCCACGATAGGCTAAACTGATTGGATCATTGGTTATAAATTAAAGTCCCCCAAGGCCAAAACATTGCAAGTGAGGCATTCCGTTGGGGAAAGGAAATGAATTCCGGTAGGTGCCCCGAGGGCCGACTCGGCTCGACTCTGAAATACTCGAGACCCAATGTGAGTACCGGATACTGAAAGGGGATAAGATCGGAAAAAATAAGATACATTCGAAACTAAATTGATGAGGAAGAGAGGTCCTACATGAAGACTAGAGTGTTGTATTGTAGCCAAGGATGACTTGCCTGTGGACTAGGACAAGCATGAAATCAGATCATTGTTGCTTGAGTGGTACCCTACAGGCAGTCTCCTAGGCTATCGGAACTCGCTCTTTTCGCTCATGCCGGACTTTCTCTTCTTCCGTCGCACTTCTCTGAGATAGGCTACCGAAAGATAGATGATAATAGGTAAATTAACTATTTACATTTATGTGTGTGTATATATATATATACATTTCTCTCTTATAACAAATATGTTATTACATTTCATACGTGTAGGGCATATAGAACGAATCAAATTACAAATGAACTGAAATATAAAACGGTTCATCGGCTTGGTTTCAGGCTAAGTATGTGCAGATTAGATCGAATCAAGTAATTAAGTTCCTTACTAATGAACATAGAGATCAAAAAAAGGCCAAAAAGGCTTAAATGGTATAGCAAAAGAATGGTTTTACTAGACTTATCCAGCAGGAATAGCAAAGCTCTCCTGCACCCATTGAGGCAGATCGACCACCATACATGGATCATTTTTCTCGAATTCGGCAATATGCAAGAGAACCATCAATCAAACGAGAATACGATCAAAACAGAGACGAATAATGATCGGAACGGATAAAGTCCCCCTCGAACATGTAAAGAGAAAATCGAGAATTGGACTTTACCTTCTCGGTGCAGTGTGGGCAATAATGATACTTGTGCCAGAGGCAATCCATTGTGGGGCAAAGAAAGCAGAATCCAAGCATGAAGGGCATCATGCATGCAACAACCGCTGCCAAGCTAAGTTTCGATCTGAAATATATAGAACATAAGTTTTTTTATTGGTATTTGTTCGCTTAACTTAACATACAAACATAGACGAATAATACACAAACGGATTACGATTAATCGATCAAGGTCCGTTCATTTACGTCCGACGGTCCGAGAGATCCAAAATTTTATTTTCGGATCTCAAACCAAAAAGGAAGAAAGAAAAGCAAAATGAAATAGAGTTACCTGACGAAGGTGAGTCCGGAATTACCGCAGTAAGGGCAGTTAAAAGGAGCAGGGGTATCACGATACATGGTTTGCTTAATCGGAGTATTACCGGGATCACCGTATATGACGTCCTGCTGGTACGGTTTCATCCCCACAAAGTATGGGACTCCGACCACCCGCTCATCCTGTTTCTTAAACATAATGAAAGGGCGAATTTCTCAGAAACAACACAAGGGAAAATCTGATTACTTGGAACTTTAGTGTCGGGGGGAAAAACAGAATTCCGATTTCTGAGTTTTGTAGAAGATGGTTTGAGCTTTACGTACGCAGCTACGAGCAATTGGCGCCAATTGCCACCTCTCACTATTCTTTCGCGTTTTATTTACTTTTATTTATATATATAATATCTAAAATTTTACTAGAATCATTTTATTTATTGAACTGAAATAATGTGATGTATTGAAAAAATGGGGCGAATTGTATAGGAAGTTTATTATTTTAATATTTTTTATTTTTAATTAATTTTTTATTATATTTTGAGAGTCATGTTAAGTTATAAGTTATATTTTGAATTAAGTAATTTGCTACAAATTTTTGTGTGTTTTTCCCCCTTTTTTTTCTTCTAGATTGATTTCCAGGTTAGTTCCTGTCCTTGTCATTTCGTATAGGAATTTTATTGGAATTGTTTAGTACATGTTTCTTCTATTTTTAGATACAAGTGTCGCACTTAGTGAAGGATCCAAAAAATTAGGAATGAGATCTAAACTTTTATTCATATTTTTAAAAAAATAATAAGTATGTAAAAAAATCTATTTTTTCTGTTTTCTTAATATATTAAACTAAATTTAACTATTGTATTTTGTCCCTATGGGGCTTAGTGCATTTGTCTAGGGATACCATAGGTTAAGTTGGGTCAGGTTTCTGATTAACTCGATCAGACCCGAAAATTATATACCATCTACTTAATCCGAAGCCGAGCCAAAAATTATGCATTGTCCACTTGACCCAAACTTAACCCGACCCAAAATAATATATTTATAACAAATATTACTTTTATTCAAAAAAAAATAGGGATTTAATTGGAAAAATATATATACGGAGGGGTCTTATTGCAATTATCCCTAAATATATAAGGTAAAATTATATCTTTTTAGGGGTTAGGTCAAGTCGGATATTTTTCACTTTAAATCCAAATTTGATCCGACCCAAACATAATCTCTAAAAAAAACTCATCCAATCCAAACCTGATATTTTAAAAAAAAATCCGACTCGAAAGAGTCGTCTTGGATCGGAACCCGTCGAGTTTGGGTCCGTAACATCCCTACATCCGCCCCTGGCTTCACTTGTCTGAGTTTTAGATTAATTCGAGATTTTTATAATTTTAGGAGGTTATTAGAAATTCATACCAAGTGCTCTTTAAACCCTAATACAATATTGTTATTTGATTGTCACATCCTTTATACTTTTATGTTTGTTGTTTAGTCGAACGAATGTTGTTTTCATTTTAAAGGAAAACGAATTTCGAAATGTTCTGTAAAAGGAGAATGGGGCCATCCAAATTCCCTCGTCCATCTGGTGAAGGGCTGTAGTCTACAATTTCCAGTTTGTAGGGTAATAGAACCAATACATTGGTCTTGTCGATTCCTTCATTTGACTCACTTCTTCGTCCTTTTCTCCGTCTATTTCCGTTTTCATAACATTCCTTCACTGTTTCACTTCGCCTTACATCTTTTGTCCATTTTAACTTTGTTCATATCATCATTAAATTCCTCTCTCCCTCTCCCTCTTGTTGTCTTCTCCCTTGAGTCATTTGTTTCTTCATGTCTTGTTTTCTGGGAATTTCACGTTGAGGAATACATAATTAAAGAACCAAACATGGGGACGATCACAGCATCTTTGGAAAGGTCTTTACGAAACTGTACTCTGAACCATGAAAATGGCGCTGAAGCAGAAGAAGAAAAAGAAGACGGTTATAATATCAAGGTCCCAGACGGTGCCGTTTTCAACACTGGCTTCGAGGAGCTCAACTCCCATGTCTCCCTCCCTTACTACTGGGAACAACAAGGCCTTGATGTGAAGGTAAATTCGTTCTTCAATGGCTTTTCCTCATAGTACGTATCGTAGGGTTTTTTTAAACATAACCCTAAAACTTTTTATATGGCAGACGGCGGAGTTTTACTATAAAAAACGGAGGGACGGGGCGGAACCGACTGAGGATCCAATGACGGAAGCGGCAGCCGAAAACGGCAGAGATTTATCTTCCTCCGAAGAAGACGACGGCGATATCTGGTATGACAGTGAAGACTACTTATCATATTCATCGGAATTATCTCCTTCAAGGGATTACAACGATAACAATAACGACCAGCCCCGTGGGGTACTCGAGAAAGAAAACGACAACGTATTGGTGGTGGCTGGTTGCAGGAGCTGCTATATGTATTTCATGGTCCCCAAGAAAGTTGAAGATTGTCCCAAATGTAACGGTCATCTTCTTCGTTTCGATCGATCCCCGAGTAGTTCACCATCGTCAACATGATCCGGATTTGTGAAACTTTTTAGGGTCTTCAAATATTTCTAAAGTTTTTTTTTACAGGTTTGAATAATGAGTTACTTAGAGAGATGAATATTGGTGCTTAGCGTTTGTTTGGGGCGCCATTGAAGTCCACATCCACTGTTAAAAATTGTTGGATCAAGTTGTAACGAATTGATGTCTTTAAATGTGTTTTATTTTTGAGGATGATAAAAAATAATCTCTGAAGAATTTTTTGAAATAATATTCAACACGAACTAATCCGAATGAATTAAATTACCTTGGTAGTCGAAGGACTAATTGTTATTATTAGATGTCACAAGTTCGAGTACTACCAACTATAGTAGGGTGATTAAACATTCATTATCCAATGATTGAGAATATTTAGAATAGTTACTATTTTGTAATCATCTTAGGTTAATAAAAAAAACTCGAGCCAATCCCAAAGTTAGTTGAACACATGATTCATCCAATGAAACAATGTGTAACGTCCATTATTTTGACCAAAGACTTTGTTAGATAAGAATAATCACGTTCAAGAGTTCGAGGAAAAACATGATTAAATAAAAAAAAATTAAAACATTCATACACAAAATCAAACAATTAAGAATTATATTGTTAAATGTATAAAACACAAGATCAATTCAAATGATTACCATATATGAAAGATTGATACATTTTTTATATATAAATCAATCAAATATGAGCATTGTGCTTCAACCTAACATTTTATAACGATCGGTATAAAAAGTTAGAATCATTTTAAACTATCCTAAAATTTAAGGATAAAAAGATTATTTTGTAATAACATTGAAACTCATGCATACATTTATAAGAAATATAAACTTACACACATGAATCTACCATCTCCACTAACAATGAAACTTCAACGATAACTTATAATTCTAGTCCTTTAGTTTTCAATTCTTTCTTTTATCTATTATGACTTAATGTAATGCCCCGGAGCTCGGGTCAGTAGTTTGAGTCAACCCGAAACTCGTAAGTCAAGCCAGTTAGACCTCTTAAGATAGTTGGACTAGTTCAAAAAGGGTATTGGGGTTAGGTTGGCCCAATAGTTCAAAAAGGATAGTGGTGTTTTTTTAAAATGAGTTAAAGGGAGAAGGACTAAAAGTGTAGTTTACCCATAGCTTGTTTTAAAGGTTAAAAAGGAATCCTAAGCCTAGATTGAAGCAATCAAGGTAAGAAATTTATTCTTCATCTTCTAAGCTTCCATTAGAGCCCTTAATTTCAAGGATTGACTTAGTTTTTCAAAAATGAGTTTTTATGGGTTTTTAGAAATCAAGTGTTTTAAGTCATATTAGGAGAGTGTTTGAGTTGTAGGGAGTGTATCTAATCTTTATCCAATACCTAGTTAAGTAAGTAATACATTTTTATACCTTGATTAGTTAAAGAGGTTGAAGAGAGAGTTCAAGCGAAGGGAAAAGAAAGAGTGGATCCCTAGTTGATTCAAAAAGTGTTCTAGCATCCAAAGGATCCAGGTAACACACTATTAGCTTTTCCATACCAGTTGTAGAATCATTTGAAAAAGGTTTAGCTTGAAAGTTTAGTTTAAGCGTGTTTAGTATATTTTCATGGTAGATTTTATGTTTTATGTTTTTAGTATGTATTAAAGCCTTATATATGCTCCCTTAATATCAAATAAGACTTTAAGAACGTTTGGAGACCTTGCTAGGGTCTTTGGGTTTGAAAAATAGATGTTTTTGTGTTTTTTTATGGCTTTTGTAGGTAAAGTATCGATACTATAGGGATAATATCGATACTTGTTCTTCGTTTTGGGGTAAAAATGAGTTTTCTGGGTAGAAGTATCGAAACTCCCAGAACGTATTGGAACTAGGCAGAACATAATGTTTAATAGTATCGGTACTTATATAAAGTATCGAAACTTTTGGGTGTATCAATACTCTTGGCTAATATCGATACTTTTAGTCTGTTTTGGACAGAAATGTAAGTTTTTGAGGTATTTAGACATGAGGTACCCCAACACTTCATTATATCATCAAATAAGACTACAAGTGGAACAATATTAATGTAAATTCAAACGTAGAAACAAAATAATTAGGGACAAATAAGATTAACCTTGTTTGATGCTTGAGAAACGATTCGGACACCCGAGTTCCTTTAGAAAAGCTAGTGGAGTCGAAAGTATAGATGCAGTCTGGATATATCCTTAGATAGGGCGCAAGGCCCTTAAAACCGACTAACTAAGGCCGAGCCTGAGACTTGCTAGGGGTGGGTTAGTCAGGGGCATATTGTCCGATTAAGAATTTTGGGGGTCATATCTCAGTAGACTAAAGGGGTGCGTGAGCTCTGAGATGAAGTAATCCCCCAGTCGCACCATGATGTTTACAGTAGCGTAGAGAATGAATATCGCAAGGATATTCACTAAGCAGATCAGATCAGTAGACTTGATAGTTAGCCTTTCAGTGATATACAGTTAATATGTTTTAGTTATTATTGTGTCGTTGAGCTAGTTAGCTCAGCCTTCGGATGTTTCTCTGGGCAGGATAGTAGATCAAGCAGTTGGGAAGCAGTAGATAGACCAAGGTTTAGACCAGTCTAATGCAGATCAAATGTACGTCTCAGCATTTTTGAAAAGGCATGTATATTTGTAAACATTATTGTCCAGTTGAGTCATAGATTCAATCAGTGGTTCCGTATAGCATCTTAAATTGGTCGACTGTGTGTCGTACTAATCTAGGGTGTTACACTTAACCCCCTTTTAATCTCAATACTTTTATAAACACTACATTCTAGTCCCTACTGTAAAATGACATCTCGTACTTAAAGACATTAAATAAAATAATGTGATGTCCAATTTAGTCTATACTAGTTTGGATTTAACTTAGGCTCCACGTTAGAATAATCAGATTTAATATGATTTTTAAATACTAGTATCTGATCCAAAAATAATATAAAATTAAACTATTCTACTAGCTTGTTTAATTTTGCATTCTATCATATATAGAAGTCCCTTAATCAAGATTTAAATAAATATTCATTCTGTCGATTAATTTTTTTTTTTTCGTTCAGCAAATTTGATTTTATTAAACATTTAAAAATACAATCCCGACACTTGAATAACGTGTCTTATTAAAAATCTCCTTAAACATATTATAAGAAAAGAATACAACACAACTAGATAATAACTACAACTCGACAATTGAATAAACGAAAAATCACCTGCTAAATCAACTGTTGACCAATACAAACATACTTTCAGTATATCGTAACTACACACCCCACCTTCTCTTAAGAAGATCACTTGCCACATTACACTATTTTGTTAATAATACCACATTACACTAAAATATGTAAAATCAAGCATGTTTAAGTGTTCAATATTTTTTAATTTATAAATGAGAAGATGTTTGGACAGTATAGGCATCATACCAAAAATAATATGTTCAAAGAAGTAATTATTGATTTTTTGTACTAGTTATCCACGCGACAATCAAACCAAGATCGTAAGGTTCTCTCGGATAATTAATCAACATATTAAGATCGATTCACTTAACTAAACTAAAATTGAAATTAATCTAAGATCATAGTAATTATCTCTATACATAGATATTATATATCATATTATTAGGGTTGGACACAAATCAATTAAAGCATACAATCATGCAGATCCTAAAAAAAATCTTATTTGTTTTTTTTTTATTTTTACATAAAATTTTATTTTTTATTTTTGTATGTACTATTATTTCTAAAGTCATTATACTCGTATACCATGCTATCAATATTATCATATATTTTTCTTCAATCTATAAAACATATTTATATATTATACACATATTATTTGCTTTACCCCATGCAGCATCCGGTTCCCACGATCCGGATTTCTCCATATTTCTCATCACTGTATAGGAAACTAATTTCTACATGTTGTACTTACGGGGCTAATTTCACCCGACATCCTCAAACTATGCACATGTTTTAAATTGGTCCCGAACTTCATTGTGTTCTAACTAGATCATCAAAATATGATGATCAAAACAATTTAAAAATATTTCTACTCTCAAATAAAAACGGTACATTAACTTAATTTTGTATATATAAAATATATTTTAAAATTTTAAAATAAAAAAAAAAAATCCATGACACATTTAAACCTATCACATATGAATGGAACTTAAATTTTTAATCTTCGTAAAATAAAAATATTAAACTCAGAATCGAACTTATTTAAAAAAATAATAACAAACACAAAAAATCGTTAACTAATTAACCAATAAAGAAGGTATCTTGCTTCCATACAAAGGTCACCATATAATATAAATATAAAATGAAAGTCCAAGCCCACAATATGTATAAACTAAAATAAGCAATGTCTTCAAATTTTTAATAGACACAAGGCATAAGCATTTGCTACCCAATATGTAAAGAATCCCCTATCTTCTTGTCGGCTCCTTTTTTTTTTTCTAGCATCTTCAAATGTATAAGTTTGAAAAAATGTAGGCCCAAGTCATTTTCTCTAAAAACGCGTTTAGTTTTAGGTAAAACGACTACCAAGCATAAGGTGATGCACAAGTCAACCTAAACATACAAATGAAAAGAAACCACGTGTTAGATACTTGACAAATTTTGGAGGAAAAATTTATTAATTTCATTAACTATTTCAAGCATGACCAAAAAATGAAAAACAATATTCATCTATGATTTCTATAATTATTTTGTGTAATATTTAAGTTATTTATAATTTCTAAATTAAAAATGATTATCTTAAATACATTTAAATATAATATTTAAAAACAAAACGCTTGTTTGAGTTTGGGTTAATCAAGGTCAACGTGGCTGCCCCTATTCAAAAGCGGGTGCTTTTTCTTAACTTAGGAATTTTTAGTGCTTTCGGTGCGTTGTGTATTACGGACATTGAAACGTCAGTAGATTTAATTATGTTTTCTTTTGCCGATTCCATGTGCCTACATACAAGCAAGCAAAGTTGCATTTTACAAAGGCTTATTACTTTATCTACGCTGATATCCATAAGATGGATCGAGGAATACTAAGGACAATCGTACTTCTATTTTTTTTTGTATTTTATATTTTTATAAAAATTATTTAATTTCACCCCATAAAACTTTAATATAATGTTTTATGTTCACAACTCTGACATAAATTTCTATGTTCGTTTCTCGCATTCATTATACTTTCAAAGGTTTTTTAGGAACATAAAGTGTTTTTCTATTTCACAAGAAATGAATTATGTATTTCATTTACTTTTATCAATCTAAAGTATGTGATTTATCGATGACTGAAAAAATTTAAATAAATATTATCTTATGATCAATTAATATTATTAAAAATATATAAAAATGAAATATTTAATTAAGATTAGATTTGTTTGGTACTTATAATTTCATTAAATAATCTCTTGGATAAATGATTATGCTAACTTTGCCTAGTAATCTCTTATGTAAAAGACTATTTTACCTCTCTTTGCGCTTTTCCAGAAATCTCTGCAGCGACTTTCTTCTAGCAATTGGCAAATCTACATAAAAATATCCACAAACGAATGAAGTCTTTTGTATGCGAATTTGGTAAGTTCAACATATACGTGTATATATAAATACTACTTATTACTAAAATAAAGGCTGGAAATGGAAGAAAAATTTGGAAAACAGGAACCGACCTCCATTACGAGTTTCGAGAAGGTTTTGTCGATCGTTAGAAGGATTTGCAACTTTTGATGAATCTGTCGATTCAACGTTTTTTGAGCTTCCTTCAAGTTCAACCGCGAGTTTGAAAATACTCTTTACCTGATCAAAATTTAATAAATCACAACTTTCAATGCATTGATTTTCCAAAACAAATGTATGGATATTATATTTAGATAAATGATTCAACCGAACCTTGTCTCGAGGTACGTTGAACACGGAGACAGTTCCGTTGTAGAAAATCGTCAACGGAGCTGTTTCAGGACCGCCCTCAGAAGAACTAGGCCTGAAAATTGAATAAAACGTTAACGCTTTTCACGCTGATTATTTTAATCGAAGCTTATTAGCGATGAAACTGTCGAATACTCGATTTACCTTAAGGCGGGATTCAGAATAGGTAAAGAAGGAATCGGACTACTCCGATTTTCTTTAGGACTCGAAGGCACCGAAAAGGACTTTCTCCAGTCAACCGGATTCCGGTTCGTCGATCCGGACGAAATCATGGACTTAATCAACTCCGGATTCATCTTCGAAATTGTTCCTTGAATGCCTGATAACATTAATCACCGTTTTTCACTTTAAACACACTCATTCACTAAAAAAATGACTGAAATCGAGGGAGAAAACTCAAAAAAAAAAAGAAAAAGAATTTACTTCGGAAGCTCCGACGGCGATCGAGGAATTTCTGGAACTGAGATTTGCAGGAGTCAGCCTTCTCCATTCCGAAGAAATCAAGCTCGACGGTAGCTCTCGACATTTTTGTCAAAATTTTTCTCGAGAAAACTTTTTTTTTCTTTTTTGGATTCAATTTGTTTGGGAGAGGAGGGAAAGTTGAAGACTATATAAATAGAGGCGAGGGAAATTGAAAATTGCATTACACGAGATGCATGAGAAAGTATTAAAGGAGGATTCGCTGTATTTATTAAATAAATAAAGATTTTATTTTATTTTATTTATTTAATAATTTTTGAATATTTGGTGGGTAAGCGTATATTTAACGTACACATCTTCCACGTGGAGTTTGTGTTACTAACAAATGAGGCAGGTCCAACTGTCTGACCGTAACAGTGTATTTGAGTCTTTTTAATTTGCTTTTCTTTTTGGGTTAATTGTCTTCTACACCTCTAACTTCAATACATTCTAATTAAGTCCTTAAAATATAATTATTGTACCAATCTGGTCCTTATTCCAGTCTATCCATTAGTTTAGACATTAAATATTATCTTGGGTCTGACATGTAGATTATTTAAATCATGTATTGTAAAATTTTAAATATGTTTGTATCGATCACATGAACAAGGATCTAATCTGTTATTACAAAAGAAACGATCTTCTAAAATGAATAAAAATTGCTTTACGAAAAATACCAATTGGTATTGAACACCCAAGCCAAATGATCTAATTGATACATATTAATATTGTGGGATTCTTTTGAAAAATATTGGACGGAAAATATATAACCTTACCAACAAAACATATGATTCAAAGTAGGACTATTTTAATATTTCTTTGTTTTTGACAATTTCTCCTATTTGGAAATTTGACAAATTCAACTTGAAAACTCAAAACATTTTAATTTACATGTGAAATTAATTAGTGTTTTAGATTTTAATTTTAGACGAAATAATTATATTTGTGGAAAGACAATAGACTATTTACTGCACATCACATGTGTAATCCCTTCTTGAATATTAATAATTTTGTTCACTACAGTAAAACACGTCTCTTGCAATATCTTTTAGGCCTAAACATTATCCCGGCGAAAACAAAAGTGTCCCAAGAAACGCTGCTAAAACTAATACCGTAACATATTTTTAAGTTTCTTTACATAATTTTGTATCAAAATATCATATAAAATTAATTTATTTGGTTTTCTAACATAAAAATTAAATAACTTTTATTTTAATATCATAATTCTAGACTTTTAGTACCTTACATGTTAATTTTTACCAGAGCATAATTCATACTTTTAAAACTTTACTATTTTACAGCATATAGTGATTATTTTGTAACAATTTGACAAGTCGAACAATTATTTTGTAATATTTAAATTTTCAATGATAAAAAAATCATTTTTAGCACGGTTTAATGGCCATTTCTATATTTTACCCATAATAGACAAATTAAATATCATTACATCATAGTTATAATTGAACAGGTAATATGTTAATTTAATATTATAAATCCCTAACATAATGGTTGTTAGGAAATTAGGGTGTAAAGACCATGTATAGCCTGATTTGGTTGACAGTTTCTAGACAAAGAGTCAGGTCAGTGGAGAGCTAGCAATTGTTGAATGTCTATTACATAATCTTTTTAGAAGAACTACAAATATAATTCTAATAATTATAATTAAATGATTTGATTAAAAAATAAATGTTTGAATTATATCGTTTTTTACTTAAATGGGTGTTTATATTTTATTTATTTATTTAGGTATCTAACGTTACAAACGTTATAAGTGTTCCAATCATAACATCCGTTAAAATTTGTGTTAAGTGCAAAATATTATCTATGTATAATCATTCGTCTAATGTTATCATAAAAAAATATAAAGCCCAAATCAAAATTCATACGGGTACAATTTTAATTTCTATAAAAGAAACACGTCTTCCACTAAATACCAGACATTTGTGTCAAAACCACGTGTCTTGTAGACCAATTTTTCTAAACCATATTCATTACAATCAACTCCATCATAAACTAATCGAACATTTTTTGCTTCAAACCACGTGTTATAGACCTATTTTTTCCCTTCAAAAAAGACACTTGTTTCCTTTACCTCGAGAAAAAAAAAGTAATAATGCACATTTGTCCCACAATTGTCACATCAAGTAATCAATATCCGAGTTTAAACATTGTCGGTCCTGTTAAATGTTTGGCTACTTCGATTTAATGGTACCTTACCTATTGGGATAAACGTTAAGTGTCCCACGGTTTGTCACATCAAACATTCTATTCAAATTTAAAATCTCTCGGTATAAGTCGAACTTGTAGAGCATTGTCCGTTTTGGTCCATTGAAAGCTGAGTTAACACAGAAATAGGATCATGGGTGGAAGGCCTATCAGCAGGCAAATATGATATGAGTTGGTGTGGTTTTTTTAATCCCTCTACTATTCCAAATTTGGAATTTGATTCATGTATTTTCCTAAAAGACTCAGATTTGACAAATTCACCTACATATGTAAAGAAAAGTGTTCAACCCCCCCCCCCCAAAAAAAAAAACGTTCTCTTCTACCATTACGATCACTCATTAGATATATATATCATATGATGTTAGAAAAAACACAAGAAATCATCCCAATAAAACAAATTTAAAAACACAGAATTGCCCTAAAATCTAGTCCCCAACCCAACGGCATCACCAGGAAAGGAACAAAACTAATAAACACAACACATAGCATACACTGCTGACATCCATTTCAATGAGAAGAACTGGCCCTTTCGATACATATAATTACACAAAGGAATACATTTTTCAAATTCCACACTTCGGGTTCGATTTGTACTTCCATTTTGGTTTTCTATTACCCGTTTACTTGTGATAATAAAGCAAGTACCTCACCGTCACGGAAATTGGATTCCACTGCAAGCTCAAGAGGGGTTTTCCCTTCCTTGTTTAATGCACATGGATCCGCTCCCCTACATAAAACCAGGTAAATCTTTGTAATGTTTCCATAAACGGTATACACATACGAGTCACATTAAAACACCATGTAAAGGGCCATGAGAACAATGCAGATATAACCATCACGTAGCAAAGATCACCTGGTAAGTAGTAATTTAGCAAATGCTGCTTTTCCTCGGAGAATACAGCGGTGAAGTGGCGTTTGACCTCTTGAATCAGCTGCATTTATATTTGCTCCATATTGTAATAGAAGTTCAAGCATGCCAATGTCTGCAGCTTCACAGGCAAGGTGAAGAAGGGTGCAACCGTCTAAATCGTCCATAACTTGGCCCTCACTGGTTCCCATCAAGTTGAAAGAGCTAGCGGATAAGCTATCAGATGAATCCACTCTCATGTAACCAGAGTTGTTATCGGCATTCTCATGTTCTTGCAATAGCATGGCTTTGGCAAGGGTCAGTGAAGACAGAGGAGATTGTTCGTACACTGCATTTATATCTGCTTCACGATTAACAATACAGCGGTAGACAGCCTTCTTGTCGTTGGCACGAACACCCTCCCAAATCTGTTGTGCCACGGAATTAGGATATTGCTTGTCTTTAGGCTTGCGAACAAAAAGCTTTTCCGCATACTGAGATCAAGAGAAAACAGAATTCCTTCAATTGTTTACACTAGTCAAATAATTGTTGTGAGCAATAATTAAATTAAATCAAATTATCCGACCTTCAAGGAAAAGGTACAGTAAAAAAAATCATCTTATGCAACCATCTAAAATAATAAATGTGTAAAGATTTGAATACAAGGAAAATGCTTAACCTTTGCATGAATGAACTTCTCCTTTGCAGATATAGAATCGGTATGACATGGCTTGCCCGTAAGAAGCAACTGCAGTTTATCAGACTTGTAAAAGCTTCATCGCCGAAATAATGAACGTTAGTAACAAGCAGCAAGAAAAACAAATTTGGTTTTATACTAATGAAAATCTCTTATTTATTGAAAGAAAAACAAAAATCTTTACCCTGTGAGGGAAAGATCGACGTGGAGAGCACTTCTTGACTGCAAAAATTCCTCCCAAACTGAGTTAGCAAAGGTATTGCCCAGAGATTGAAACAAACCTATAACAGAGGGCTCCCATACTTTGACATCAAGGGTAAGTGACCTAACCTTAAATATGAACCATTGACCGTCTTAGAAATAAGAAAATCAAGAGAAAGAACAATCAATCAATCAATCAAATACTATAGTTTTAGTGATGCAGGATTATCACCAAGCGATGAAAAAAAAGGTTGATTGTAATTTATTAAATTTACCTTTGATATGTGAACGCCAAGATTACGGTGAACACCAGAACATTCAATACAAACAAGAACACCCAGATTCAATGATGCCCAATCGGGGTCAGGGGCACCACAATCTGCACATTTATCGTTCCCACACACTCTTCTCAGTACATCAATTGGCTTTTCATTTTTTATACATGACCTTAGATGTTGTGAAGCTTTTGATTGGTGTTCATTGTGTGCGCTAACAAGGTTTCTCTCAGAGGTATACTCTTCAACAGCAGTATGATCAAAATCAGAACTTTCAAATGAACTCTCACTGGTGGATCGATGATGACCATTTCCCATGGGACTAGCAGAAAGACACTGAAACATTGTTGGAGTATAATTGTCAATATATCAACATGTAAATCAACAAGAAAAACTCGTGCCAAATCTTTAATTACCCTCTCAGGAGCCTGAGAATTAAGTAATGAAGCAATAACTCCAGTTATCTTTTCAATCCAATCCATCTGATCTAATGCACTCTCGGCCTGTACTGACAAGCACAAACAAACATTATTAAAGATCAATTTGCCAAATAAAAATCCTCAATCCTTCAAAGGCGCCACATTTTGTGCGCAATGATTTTTCAATAGGTTGATCCCATAAACAACATACATTCAGGTATATACAAGCATACACACATACTAACCCTTACACACAAGTCATACCTGCAAGGTGTAATTCTTTGTTGGAGAAATTATCCTAAAACAAAACCTCAAATCTGACTGGTCAGCATCTACTTTAATAGTTGATGTAAGCAGGTTCACCGTGTGACGGGCAACAGACTTTTCATCATGTGCGCCACCATGATGATGAGAAGAAAGCCAACGACCCAATAATCCAGATCCAAGCTCAGAGCTATTTCTCTGACCAGAAAGCTGACTGCCAGACGCCTATCAAT